TACTATAAATTATTATTATTATTATTATTATTATTATTATTATTATTATTTTAAAAATACTATTATAATATGCCTCTGGATTGTATTTTAGTTTTATTTTAAAGTATAACTGTAAAATTACAATACTAATATTTATGACTTATTTAGGTCTTAATTAAAGTGCAGAAAATACCATGGTACTACAGCCAAAAATAACACATGGTACATTTGTACAGAGTAAACATTAAACGGAAAATCAAAAATACAAAACTTCCAAATGTTGCTATAGGTTTGATCGCAACATATAATCATTGCTGTTAATAGTGTTCACCGTCTGTTTGATTATATGACATTAACTAACTGCTTGATTTTTACTGTACATTTCTGCCATATGGACATTCACATAGTCGCCCCTGATAAGCTATTAATAAAAATAATGTAGAAATTGTAATTTTCTGTAAAGCTGCTTTGCAACGATTTGCATTACAAATAAACTTGCAAAAATGAAAAAAATTGCAACAAAATGCAAATTCAATGCAAATGTAGTTCAAATTTACTATCGAAAGCATGTCTAGCTCATATCATATAAAGATTGTATTTGTAAACAAGAGGCGACGCTTAGAAATGATGCAATATGGAGGACGAGCGTGCAATCGCTTCAGTCCGCTCAGAACAGATCTACTCAGAAATCCTGTAAAAGTTATATTCTTAAAATAAAAAGTCTCGGGATTGGAGAAGACAAATAAAGTTGTGTTGTTTTTTTTCCTTCTCAACATTTATCTGCTTTAATTTCTTTGATGGTTTTTCAGGACCGGTGCCAGGCCATGGTTTGGGGAGAGACTCGGGTCAAGTAAGTAAATTACAGTAAAATGGAAGGTCTTCCTCATCAAAATCTAACCTGATTTTTACAGGCTTACTGTCAGCCTGGATTACTGCACAGAAGAAAGAGATGGAGCTTTCATACACGTTTACACCTGTGCTGAAAATGGCCAGCAGAGCGGGCTCAGGAAGAGGCGGACGGAGGTGTTCGGGTTGGTCACGCCGGTCAGGAACCATCATGTGATCAGCGATGGCGTTCATTTAGACCGGCTCTGACTGATGCAGCTATCAGCCTGTGCTGGTTTGGAAAAAGCACTGAAAACAGCAGACTGACCAGCTTAGAGAGTCAAAATAAAGACGATTATGAGTTTACAGCAAAAGTGAAAGACTGATTTCTGATGATTGAACATGTTTAGTGAAACCAAACTATAAAATAATAAAAAAAAATATAAAAAGTGTGCACCCAGCTAACAGGGAATGTTCTCGGAACGTTCTGGCAAGGTTCTCTCAAAGTTATGGATAAACAATCTTCCAGTAATGTTAATATAGCGTTTGTCAAGTCATCTGGTCTTTAGTAATGTTCTCATAATGTCAGCATAAAAACATTATTTATACATTGCTCATGGAATATTTTTCTGAAACTTTTTTCAACAAGTTTCAGATGGGTTAGACAACATGCAAAAGTAATGTTTGCAAAATGATAAAATGGTTTGTTAATGCTTGTATAGCCAAGAAGAAAATAATAAAAAAAACGTTTTAAACATTCAAAAAGCTGGATATTTTCATAACTAAATGAGAATGTTAGCACAGCATTCTTGGAAGATATTTTTGTGAGCTGGGCACATCCATTTTTAATGTTTGGACAGACACTGATGTGAATAATATCAATTTAATATTATTAATAATATACGTATATTAATATAAATTAATATCAGCTTCAGCTGCATCAGTTTCTACACTGTAAAGCCCAAGACGTATTTACCACTTCAGACGTGGTTTACAAATCCTCTTTCGGTCTAGAATTGGAACTGGACTGTCATGAGAGCAGTAAATAATTATGAATGAACAATAACATGAACCTAAGAATTCCATGAATTCGATATTTGTAATATGAATACTACTTTGCAAACATTTGTAAGTCACTTTTGTAAGCTTCAGAAGCTGCCCAAGTTACTAGCACTATCATTTATGAAATAATAAACACCTGGCCCATACAGCGAAAAAAATAAATAAAAAATTATATATATATTTTTGGCCTTTTTTGTATATTTTGAACTTAATACATATTAAATACATATTTTTTTGCCTATGGGTTTTTTTTTTTTTCAAAAAAAGAAATGAAGGATTTCAATATCAAATGTAGAATTTGATAATGAAATATATAAACATTTATTATTGATTTGCTTGTTTACATGTCAGGTACAATTGGGGTAATGGGCAAAGATCTAGATGGTTTATATTTGTCAGCTGTTTATGACCTCACGCTGAAAAACTTAAGCATGTTAATGTGTTTACATAACTACATGCATTGTTGACTCATTAAGCAACGTTGGGTTATTCATGTAAACAGACTCAGTGTTTATTCAAACAAAAGAAAAAGAGTGTGATTTATGAAATGACAAACACTTGCCTGCTTCCAACAAAGAAATGAAAGGTTAGACATTAAACACCTGAAGGCAATACTGGACTATCTAAACATTTATTACTGCTCTGCTTAGACGTGTTACATTTGTCATAATTGTTTTATCACTACACTCTTAAAAATAAAGGTGCTTCAAAAGGTTCTTCAAGCGATGCCATAGAAGAACCATTTTTGGTTCCACAAAGAGCCATTCAGTCAAAGGTTCTTTAAAGAAGCATCTCTTTCTTACCTTTTTGTAATCTGAAGAACCTTCTTTCGCCACAAAGAAGCTTTTGTGAAACAGAAAGGTTCTTCAAATGTTAAAGGTTCTTTATGGAACCATTTAGACAAAAAGGTTCTTCTATGGCATCGTGAAGCACCTTTATTTTTAAGAGTGTATATGGACTAAAATAGCTGCAGTTCACGTGTTCAGCGATGTAAGATTGTAAGGAAATTTGGTTCTGATTTCATGAAATGATCATTAGCGATTACTCACGGTTCCATCAACTCAGTATTAGTATGTTTGACATACTTTTTAGTTCTTTATTGCCATTTTAACCAAATGCTATACAATATTTATTAATAAATTTTTTCTGAACACATTCAGAAACCCTCAACCTCGCCCTGTTATTTACTTTCTTAATCCCGTCTGATCCTCATCTCTCGTGCCTCTTTTTGTGTCTTCAGTCAAAAGCTCATCTTCTGCCCTATTCTTCATGATCTCAACCTGTCCTCTCTCTTCTACTTGTCTCTTTCTGCCTAAAATCCTCCCTCGCTCATCCAGAGCCGTGCGTCTGCTTATTATGCCATTAGTCGTCCCACTCCTGCACAAGACAAAACCAGTCCCTCTTCAATCTAAAGAAAGTCCTGGGTTTCTTCCCCTCCTTCCTGAAATTACCCGGCGACGCGTGCCTGCGTTTCTAATTGCGCCGGCCGTCCCCGGAGACGAGCCCCTCCCCCCGGCCTAATGAAAAGCCTCGGCCTTAATTACTCCTGCTGAACGCTGATTGTTATTGACAAAACTCCTGTGGCTCGGACAAACGGCTCTAGATTAGCTCCATTACAGGCAGCGCTCCAAGAGGAAGAACGCAGCGATAGAGGGGGAAATCGCCATCTGACAATACAAAGTGAGGAGGGGGACACGTCGTGTAACTCTCCTCCTCTTAATTGTCCGACCCGTCGTTCTACTCAAAGCGCTCATTTGTTCGAGTGTCTCGTCGTGGACACTTTTGTGCATCTGTCAGTGTTTAAAGCCGAACTCTAAATATGTGTTTGAGGGATGTGTCTGTTTCGCCCAACAGTGGGGATTTTTGGACAACTGCGATTGTTTGCCTTCTCAAAGGTACATAGACTGTTTAAAGCCGATACAACGCAGCCAATATCAGAGAATGTGTGTTTAAACCCCTGACGGTCCTGAGAGCTTCTGGACTTTGAGAGTGGAGTCATGTTTGTCTTCGCAGTGATTCATAATTCATGCCGTAATGAACAAATACAGTAGGGATTTAACCCTGTAAAACCTGACATGCAATATAATAGTGAGTCAATGGAACAGAGCTTTTAGACAAAATATTTAAAACCAAAAAGTCTGCATATGTGTTTTTTTTAAATATCACATTTGATCCGTTTATGGCTCTTATAGTCTGATACAGTGAGAATATGGAGGGGAAAAAAAAGCTCAGTTGTATTCAGAGACTCAAACTGAGCAAAAATATGCAATTTAGTAAAGTAAGATGAAATTCTGATAATGATAATAGTGGGATCTTTATAACAGTTCAGCAGATACTGACAAAGTAATATAAACATGGAGCACATTGAGTGTGAAACAGGTTTAACAGCAAAGTTTTGATCGTGTTGATCATTTAGCAATTTGCTTTAAAGAGTTAACAACTAATCACTAGAACTCAACAATAATATTCTTATCTGTAAATGTTATATTTTATGTGAGTATTTCCATTTTGTAGAACAGTGTGTCCTATACATGAGTTAAACCTCAGAAACCTCATTAATTTGTTCACACGTTTACGCATGTGTGCCATTGGGAAATGTGGGTTTTTATGCAATTAATCGATTAATGAATGAAGAAATTGCATGAAGAAATCAAGAAATAAAGTAACACTCTTAATGAGTGAGGTCCCTACTTGCATGTTGCTAAAGGTTTATGAAAGCAGAGCAGTGTGACTGGTGTCGGTCAGACTCTCTCTCTCTCTGAGCCGTCACACACACACACACACACACACACACACCCTGTGATTAGTATCTGGTTCAGAACACACTGCTCCTCTTGTCTGTGCCAATCCAATCTGACAGTGTGATGCTGCATGTCTGTTCTGACCTGAACATCACGCACCACAGACATCTCTGCATTACAGCGCTCAGCTTAAAACACTCACAGCACTCCACAGAAAACACCGGATCTGTCCACAGAACCGAATAACCGGTCAGTCACAGATCATCCAATCCATATTCAAAAATTACATAGTTAGCTTATGCTTATAATAATTGCATGCATGCTTGAACATATACCGTATGTGAGCCTTTAACATAAATAATTGCTTTATGTTATTTTTGATTGTTTAAAGTTTGACTTATATAATAGTCAAACACTACATTACGTATATTAAGAAACTGAACAGAGTCAGCGCACACAAAACTGGAAAGCACTTTCTCAGTATCACAAGCTCAAATCTGATTGGCTGATTTTACAACTTCAGGGTATCAGTACGTCAATCGATTAAGCTTTAACAGCATTAATTAACCACATGGTTTTCTGTATATTTATTTAGAATTGCCAATTCCTTTGTATTGCAGAAGTGTTGTGAGTCTCCAGTTTCGTTACTGAATGAATGAGTCAATGATTCAATGATTCACTCATAAAGACAAGTCACTTGTTCCCTTGATTAAGCTTTAACAGCATTAATTAACCACATGGTTTTCTGTATATTTATTTAGAATTGCCAATTCCTTTGTATTGCAGAAGTGTTGTGAGTCTCCAGTTTCGTTACTGAATGAAAGTCATTGAGTCAATGATTCAATGATTCACTCATAAAGACAAGTCACTTGTTCCCTTTCATGGGAACTTCGAACTGCATCCTCTAGGGGTCGCTATGGGGAACGCCTCGTCGTGACCCGTTTCTGAAGCATACATTGAAAAAACACCAACAACATGGTGACAGCCATGACGTCACTACCGTTGCGACTATAGTATAAATAGGCACCGGGAGAACACATCATCCTCTTCTTCGTCTTCATTGACTGTTTTGTTTGAAGCATGCATTTCTGTGGTAAGAGCGATCTCGATTCATATCATTATGGTGAGCACTAGCAAAGCGTTTAGAGGATGTGTGCATCCGTGTCGTCTTTATTTGACATCTGCCGACACACACAATCTATGCGTTGTTTGTTTGGGCGAAGAGCACGCACGCGATGTCCTCGAGGGGCAATCGACGTGCACTGCGAGCCTTTTCCAATGAAAAATCTCAGCTCTCGTTTGTCTCTCTTTTCGAGGAAAGAGGGGCAGCCATCTGCTTCCTGCAGTTCAGGACCCACCGCTGCTGAGGCACGGAGGAGAATGAGCTTGTGGGGATCGCAGGTGGATCTGGCCGATGAGTTTAAAGAGGGGTTTTCCCTCTCACGATAGTCGGCTGTGGACGAGAGTGAGCCG